CATCGCCCTGATGACGGAGGCAGTATGACCTCTGAAACGTTGGTTAACATCGACCAGACTACACAGCGCAATAACCCAGAATACGGATATCTTCATTCGAGGGTTACTTCAAAAGTCATGGCAACTAATTTTTGGGTGGCAAACACGTTATATTGAAGAAAGTTCAAAATATACATATGAAAGGGCACGACATACTCCTCCGATTGGCGTAGTCAGATCAGGTGGGTGTGAATGGGTGTAGTTATAGTAGGCAAGAAAATAGGCACATTACGGAATGACCGTTTCAAGAAACTTTTACGACGTTGGAGAATAGAAGTACTCCACCATCCTCCATATTCTACCGACCTTTCGCCATGTGACTATAACTTAATACCCAAATTGAAACAGCCATTGCGAGGGAAACGCTTTCGTACACGAGGACATTTCCAACGCAGTTCGGCGCGAGATGGCAAGATTTGGAGATGGTGAAGCTGATGGTATTCGCCATCTTATTGAAATACAACGAATGCGGAAACTGAAAGTAACCCCAATAATCACAGGAGCAACTGGAAATGTCTCCAGGTCACTCAGGAAATATTTGGCCAACATCACGGGCGAACACGACATCAGGGAACTTCAGAAAACTGCCATTCTAGGATCTTCATACGTCATTCGAAAGACGCTGTCGTAAAATAAAATTATATAATACATGTAATACATATTAAAAACAATATGGATCCCGGAAATAGCTGCTGCCCTATGTACCTTAGGGACAAGGTCTGTCCCGGGTACATGGAAGTACATACCCCATAAATGGTGAACAGATGGGATAATAATAGGGCCCAATTGTGGGCTCTGTTTTGGTGTAATGCACTAAAAATGTCCTGTGGGTGCCATAACATATGTTAAAACATATTTTGATGAAGTGATATATTGAAATAAATTTCTGTGAATTAGAAAAATAATAAACAGATGAAAATGTGGAATTAGACGGAATGAAAGGACTAATTTGCAAAGCGGAAAATGTTTTATCACCGCCCCCGATCAGTTTGTAATTTTTCCTGTCCCAACAGCGGTGTGGTTTGTTTCGCGGGGACGGACGAAAGGTATCGATTGATCTCTCGACGCAATTTAAACTGTAAATGACCGTTCTTGACCAGAAAGATAAGATACGGGTCTGTTCTGGCGATAAAAGGTCTACGTCCGAGGCTGACAGCAAATCAGTAGATGGGAATCTGAACGCTGTAATCATTCAAACATCTTCCGCTCCATACACTCAACATTGTCAAGGCCCACCACTTTAATATTATCTTCCCACATTTAGCTTCTCTACGCAGTTTTCTGTCCCTCAAGTCTTTAAAATAAAACCATGCACAGGGATTAGCAAAAATTGCTTTCCCTTACAGAAATGTTAAAATTTACCTACCAAGTCTGTTAGTTCTCATATTTTAAAAATAATTTTAATAATGTCCTCCAATATACCCTTAAGGTCTCTTTGTGATATCTTTCCTTCAGGTTTCAGACTAGGTGGATGCTACCTTCAATCTCTGGGCGATGAGTTGTCGCCCTGATGATGGAGGCAGGATCCACCTCCGAAATTTCGGTCAACATCTAAAAGACTACATGACGTAATATCCCAGAAAGCAGTCCTTTTCACGTTCGCCGCCTTGAGAACCAAAAATCTCGCCAGAATTATCTTGTTTTTCTGCTAAAAGGCGAAAAAAATATATAAAATGACGTACCTTAACGTACAAAGTTGATTCTACAGACGGCGTGCGAGTGTGGAGTTTGCAACATTTGGTATGACGTTTATCATCCTGAGACACTTCTTCCTCGCCGTCCTGGTTCACTTGGCTGCAACATTGCGCCAGTAACGTCGCGCGTTCACACAAACCCGTTTAAATTATCACCTCTCGCCAAAGAGACTTAAAACGGTTGCAATGGACCACCAAAGTGACGCAGTTCCAGACACACATTCCAGCCGACTGTCGACAAGCGTAATGAACTGCTACAAATCCACGCCATTTACAGATACTCGCGTTAATGTAAAATTTATTTAAACTTAAAATATGCCATTCTGACCATCCATACTGATTTTCCATTATTTTAAAAATTACATTCAGTTTACTTTTACCAAACTTAATGCAAGTTACGTAAAAATATTAAATTTTGCATTGATATTATTTATTGATAAACCTTACGTTTAATGATAGAAGGAATGATTACGAAAAAATAAAGATATAATTATGGAATTTGTAGACTTGGAGAAGGCTTTTGACAACGTAAAGTGTTGAGAAAGGTGGGACTGAAATATAAAGATAGACGAGTTATTTGCGGTATTTATAAGCGTCAGGAGGCCATAATGAGAGTGGAGAATCGAGAAAGACGAAAATATAAAGATAGACGAGTTATTTACGATATTTATAAGCGTCAGGTGGCTATAATGAAAGTGGAGAGTCAAGAAAGACGAATTTATTAAAAAGGGAGTAAGACAAGGTTGCAGCCTATCGCCCCTGCTGTTTAATTTGTTTGTTGAGGAAGAAATTAAGGGCGTGAAAGGAATTTCGGGATAGGAATAAAGGTTCAAGGGGAAAGGATAGCAATGTTAAGGTTCGCTGATGATATTGCCCTTTTGGCTGAAAGGAAGGAATATTTAGAAAAATCATTGAATCGTATGAATAGATTACTCAGTGAGGAGTTTGGCTTAAGGATAAACAAAATCAAGACGAAATTTGGAGCAGCAGAAATGAGAATAATGATCCGTTAAATATCAAAATTGGGAAAGACACAGTAGAAATACTTAAGGAATTCTGTTATTTAAGAAGCAAAATGGACGAAACAAGGAAGACATTAGCGAAAAGAGCCTTCTTCAAAAAGAGAGGTCTACTAGTGTCAAACATTGACCTGGAATTAAGAAAGACTTTTCTGAAGTTATTTGTTTGGAAGCGAAATATGGTCAGTGAGAAAGGCAGAAAGAATGAGGGTAGAAACATTTGAAATGTGGTGCTATAGAAGGATGTTGAAAATTAAGTGGACTTATAAAGTACGAAATGAGCTGGTCTTAGACGGGATAGGCGAAGGAAGAATCTTACGAGAAGAAGAGATACGATGGTGGGACACTTTCTGAGGCACCCAGGATTGGTTAATTTGGTAATGGAAGGAACAGTTGAAGGGAGGAATTTTAGGGGGAGACAAAGATTGGAAAATGTGACGTAGATTTTTGAGGATGTGAGCTGTAGAAAATATGTGGAAATGAAGAGACTGGCGCAAGATAGACGGAAATGGAGGACCACATCAAAGCAGTCGAAAGACTGACGACAAACAAACAAATTACTTGTATATTTACCGGTAACTGCGTCATGTAAATATAATAATAATAATAATTCAGTTAATTTAGTTAAGTGCGTGACGTGGCAACAGTCAAATAATTTCAAACACGGCCAAGCACTAAAACAAAACGAAATTCTAGAAAGTAAATAATATAAAATTTAGAGATTAAATACGAGAATAAAATGTAACGTAAAAATCAGGTTCAAGATGTACAATGTAAGACGTACAGATAATGGCGAAAGATAAGTTAAAAAATACAATTTAATTATAAGTAATGTTTCAGAATATTCTTCTTAAACATTTCAACGTCACTGGTAGCAGAAACCTAACTTAAATCAGCCTGCGTTACTAATAAAAGACAATATCTTCAATAATTTCTTGATCTGAAAGTTTCTTTGAACAGCCTTCTTAAACACATTCCGAACAGGTAAGTGCAGTGTTTTGACTTGTAACAAAGAGAACAGATAAATAATAGAAATATATTCACGAGAAATCCTCCTTCAAAAACATCCAACAAAATCCCATTACATGTGACCGTGACTGGAGACTCCAGTATAGGGTTTCTACGAGCAGGTGGCTCCAGGAAGCCTGACATTAATTCCAGCACGAGCAGAAGTTGAACAGCGTAATTTTATATTTCAGTTAAGACACGTTTGCAAATCATCGATAAGATATCACATCAGGAAAATATATTGGATATCGATATGGATTCAACGCATCGATATATCGCGTAATTTCTTAGTACCATAAAACTGATTCTAAGACGCGTTTAGCTTGAAAAATAAAAAAAAATGTAACTTAAAAATGAAAGTTTAGAAGCAATGCACAGTATTTAAGTTTGGATTTTATTTAAATTACTTAAAACGTTTTATTAATATTACGACAATACTTAGTATAAATAAAAACATAATACAGCGTTTTATATCACATTTAATTAACTAACTCGTAATTTTAAAAAAAAGTCTAAACAGATTAATCGATTCCATATCGATATATAGGCCTATATCTCCGGCATCGATACAGAATTCCATATACATCGATATCCTTAAAATGTTGTACATTTGCTTATAATTCATGTGCAGACAGTCTTGTACTGAAACTAATTATATTTTTGATTTTAGAATGTTGAAATAGTGACACTTAAGTGATAATATCCAAGACCTTAAACATGATAGATGACCGAGTATAATCGTGTTACAAGCTCTGACAAGACGTCGGCCTAGAATCATATTGAATAGCGTTTCCAAATATCAAGTGGCGTTAAAATCAAAATGGAAAAGTAACTATTAAATTCCTTAAAATTAGCATATTTTCTGCATATTTTTAAAATGAATTATTCTGGATAGGTTCTTTCATAAAACGAATAAAATAAAAGAAATTTGATCATTATATGTGTCAATATTTATTTTAATTAGGAAGTTAATTTTGATAAAAAAACCCTTTTCTTATGCGAACAGACCGTAATTTTAAATTAGAACCTTTAATGTAATATGCGCTGTGACTGTCGAATCTTTTTTGTATCGATATTTTCTCCTTTTTTTGGATTCTGATAGTCAAAAACTGCACCAAACAAACAAATATAATAAATATAACTTAATAAATCCATCGTACATTTTTAGGAGTTAATAAAATCAAGCATCTATTAAATAAAGTCAACAGACAGACATAGCTTAATGGAGCTGATTCAAAATTGCATTTACTTATTACTATTGCTGGTTACCACTACGAAATATCATTTTTCTCTTAATTTATACGGCATAATCTCCGGATCACACGGAGATCTCCTCATCATCGCTCGAATCCGCGTTTTCAAAGAATCCCAGAGAACACACACACACACACACACACAGACACTCGTAATAACGCGAGTGTTCCGGCAGGAAGACACTTCCGACCAGAGTCCCGCGAGTTTGATTCCGAACTGAAGGAAGATCTCATCGGACGGACGTCGTCTCCCGGGCAACCGGTAGTCACAGGTCGAGCCCGTCGGAGCATGCGCACCCCTGGACTCCCCCGCCCCCCAACCGGCCACCTCTCAGAGATATTCGACGTCTCTTCTCCGGACCCAGAGCGTCCTGGACAAACTTCTGTCCAAAGTTGGTCCATCCCATGGCGACAGGTGGGTATATTTTTTTTTTACAAACTGTACAAGATGTGTATTTTTCTCCGGTTGTTACGCTCCTAACAAGACGGCAACTCATTATTCATTGAGTTTATTTCTGTAACTTACTTTAAAACGTTTATTTCCGATGAACTGGTGATAATGAATGATGATTTGGAACGAATGTGGAAGGAAACGGACTATTTTAAGTGACTGAGATTTCATGTTCCTGCAGCTGCGAGTCTGAAGATGGCTACTTCCAGGTTATCGAGCCGTGCTGTGTGATGAAAGTTTATCGACGTTTCAGAGGTTCTTTCTGCCTCCATCATCAGGACGCTAGCTTCTACGACCCTAGGATCCACACTTTGGGCGCGAGACGTATTACCAGAGCAGAAGTGAAATATATTAAAACGAGCAAATGTAGGAAAATGAGGGGTTTGAATCTGGGGGTGGCCTGTAATACCATAACATTCGTACCAAGTTTAATAAAAATCGGTCAACTGTTTCGAAAGTTAAACTGACGAAAATAGGCTAAAATAAATAAGCAGTTATTACATTCCGGAAGTTGAATTCTGTGTTGTAAGTGTTGAATAATGCGACGTTAATTACCGTAAAATACAGATTGATACAGGCATACCTCGTTTTATTGCGTTTTTACAAATTGAAGGTTTGTGCTCAGTTCGTGTCTCTGTGTCACATTTTGGTAATTCTCGCATTGTTTTTTTAGACACAAAGCTATTGTACACTTAATAGACTACAGTATAGAGTAAACATAACTTTTATATGCACTGGGAAACCAAAAACTTCTTGAGACTCGCTTTATTGCGGTGGTCTGGAACCGAAATATATCCGAGGTATGCCTGTATTTGATGTTTTAAAATGTTGTTCAGTACATTCACAGTGATCCTTCGGACCTGTAGGCTGACTTTCTATTACCAACTGTTGACATGCTGCACCATTGTGACAAAGGACAGGCAAAACATTAGCGTATCAATTACATTCCCATATACGACGTTTATGTTTCAGCTCTGATGACGGAGGCAGCACGTACCCCACTAATCGTTGGTATCTACGCACAAGTGCAGAAGACAATCATCGATAAATTTCAAGTAACCAGCCTGTAATCTTAGAAATCATGCGAATTATTACCTGCGAATTCCGTTTTTGTTATTCCTAGACGTGGGTCGAGATTTCGATGCTACAGACACTGAACGCAGTAGCCACTGGAGGACAATCAGAGAAGAAACACAAAGCAAAACGTGTTGGAAACACCTGCAGTGTCACACTACTTACAAAATACGCTCAGGGTTCCCAGATGGGCTGGTCTTGTAACCTTCCTACAGCAAATCCCCTGTCGTGGGGTGAAAAGGAATGTACAGTTGCTACAAAGAGTTTCCGTAGCACACAGAGACAACTACAGACAAAAAGGCAAAGATGTCCCTGCGCCTAAAAAAAGCGATGACATGAAGACGTATGGGGGGAGTGGAGATATAGCTCCACGTTCTCGCCGGACCCGTATCGATGGATAAAAAGGCTGAAGTTAATCATAGGAAAAAAAAAACGTCCGATAGGATATAAAAATTCTGTGCTTATATTTCGCTTTGTTTAAATTCATGACATCGAATGCAGACCAAGGGCTACATTCGCTGTCTCAGTTGTCTGTGATAAAGATTCCCTTACTTAGGTAGCACGCAGTTAAACAGGGCTCACGGTATGCTAATCTCCCCGCGTGACCAGCTCCCGTCAGGGTTCCATGGATCCGGAATAAATCCAGCCGGGGGTACGAGAAAGCCAAAACCATACGTCGCCATGGAAAATAACAAACAATGGAAGGAGAATGTCCGATAATCGATTCTTAAAGGAAAACAAAAGTTATCTCTTCATTCAAATACCCATTATATTGTCCCTCGTGCCAGCAGTGTTATATAGTCACTCTGGTCCAAGAAAATGGTGTCAGTATCGTAATAAGAGGCCTATTGAAGGGCACGCTATGGGCCTATGATACGCTGGAAATGAGCCAATGTTATAAAAAATCTAAAGATCTTTTTGTTGATTTTCCGGAAATGCTTCTCGATTCCGGGTGCGATCGACAGACGCTGCATTACACATCGTAAATCAATCCTTTACAGCCGAGTGGTAATTATATGTACCACCTGCTTTAACAATCAATAAATATTTTTTTATTTAATGGTTTTGTATTATTAAATTACTTTCAAGCTCGGCTTTTGACGAAGGTGAATTTCATATTCCGACCGAGGTCAGAATTTCAGGCTTTAAAACGTTAATACAGTCTGAAGTGATCACTTGGAAGACCTAGACATAGATGGAAGGATAATATTAACAACGATCTTAACGAAATAGGGTTCAATTGAATAAAAATTTCCTTGGATATTATCCATCGTATAGTAAATATAAAACGTGAAAAACGACGTTTCGGAGATGGGACTCTATCTCCGTCTTCAGGTTCCTACTAGATAGAGCTAATCCCTATGTCCGGAGATAGGGATTAGCTCTATCTAGTGGGCCCAACTGTGTAGGAACCTGAAGACGGAGATAAAGTCCCATTTCCGAAACGTCGTTTTACGTTTTATATTTACTAGACGATGGATAATATCCAAGAAAATTTTTATTCAATTGACTCTTCACCATCGTCAAGAAGTTTTAGATTTGAAATAGGGTGTGTTCCTTTGGGCTGAATACATATGACTCAGGATAGAGGCGAGTTTGGGGATCTTGTGACCACGGTAATTAAAAATTCGGGTTCAATGGGGAGTTTTTTTTGACTACCTGAGCGACCTACATCTTACGAAGAAGGACTCCGCTAAATTATGTTCGTTGGTTAGCTAGTTACAAAAGGTGATTCTGTCCCCAACTTAGAATTGAAAAAACAATTGAACTTCCAAGTTATTCACACAAACTAGGGAGGGGAGCAAATGAGATATTTCCATATAAAGCCCAGCATGGATTCTATTTTTAGCTAATGCGGACGCATTTCTGGATTCCGACACGTGTCCATAGCGCGTGCACGTGTGTTTGGAAGAGCACGCAATGCGGCATTCGATCTCACGCCTGGCACCCTGCGATGGTGGCAAGTGCACAGTAAGTGGGGGGGCCTCTCCGCACAACAACGGAACATGTGCCCACAGCAAACCGAAGTCAACTTCTGCGACTATTTTAACCTCTCACATTTTGTCTACGTAACGTAAAATGAAAGGATGAATTGCGAGGGATATGGAAGGAATTGGAAGTGGTCAAATTTGGGGTGCTACACCCGAATTCTTTTGGAGAAACCCCAGATATCCCAGGGGACAAACACTTAGTCAGCACAGCCTGCTTTTTTTGTTTCCCAGGAATATCCCGAATACGAAGCAGGAGTGCCAACCACTTGTCAGTAAATTTTAATCCACATCTATTAAGGTAAATTTACTTAACAATAAAAATACAGAATACAGAATTTTTACCGAACCGATGACGGAGGCAGTAAGCTCTTCTGAAACGTCGATCTATACATACCATCCATCTTCAGAAATTTGTCATTTAAATTCAAGTCCCCAAATCAGAATACCCGTGTAACCAGCGTTCCTTTTTAAGGTGATAATATTTTAGACACACGGATCTTTCCCCCGGAATAAAGTAACCGGAGTTTGAATCTGACCACTTACCTCTTCCTGGTGAAGAGGTCATTGACGTGTAAGGTCATACTTCCACTTTATCATACGTGTCCGTAGCGTGGCGCTTAATCAAGCACACGGACTTTATTTCCTATAAAACTAGCACCGAAGTTTGTCTTTCCTTGCCGGCACAGGGTCTACTGACACATAGGTCGCTCTTACGCGTATAGAATTATACACAATTCATAATAGGCACGTGAAAGTCTTTTATATAGGGGAATAATGGTTATCGCAGGGTGAGGGGGGGAGGTCCTGTCAAAATAGCGAAAGTCCATGCAAAGTTCAAACACAATGACATCACTGGAGTCGATGACCTCTGCCTTTTTAATATCGTTCACAGGGCGATGCAACATTTTTATTGTTATTTCAGTGATCTCGCGCGAGCGCGCGGGGGGGGGGGAGTGCCTCAGTTACGTCACGTAAAAGAACAAAATTAATTAACCCCTTGAAGCCGTAGCTAGTCTAAATTATATTTAAGAATCCGGTCCGTACCGCGAAGAAAACACAACACTTCACCGTTACGAAGATCAACTGGTTAACGCTGATTAATAACAAAATAATCGCTGTTTGTATATAGAACCATACGAATCCAATGTACACAAAATAGAAAATTGCTGTCTGTTAAAAGCAGATGGTACATATAGTTACCACAGGCCTGTGAAGAGTTAATTAAACTATCTGACTGTGGAAATGTACGTAGACCATGAGTGATTGATCAACCACAGATGTCTCGCCTGTATTGGGCAGTAATAGCAACAGAGCGTGAGTAAATATATCACCACGTATCGGGCAACTTCATATTCTGTCAAAAGCGTGTAACCCCAGAAACTAACTAACTCCATCAGGCGATGACGTAGTCAGCACGTACCTCTGAAACGTCTATAAACTTCTATCAGACTACACAGCGTTACAACCAGCAATCTTCCTTACTCACCGCCGTGAGGACCTCAAATCCTAATTAATTCTATTCAAAATTCGACTTTGTTTAGAATATGTCGTCGTTTATACCATCAGCTACACAGACTAAGAAATGCTGGAGGGGATCTTCGAAATATTGTCAGTAACGAATGTTGACATTATCTTGAAAGTTAAAAATTTGGCGTAAGTAAGATTACTGCCACGATACTGTAACGAC